ATGTCTGGCTCTAGGTGAGTGATCACACCATCATGATTATCTGGGTCATGAAGATCTTTTTTGTACAGTTCTTCTGTGTATTCTTGCCACTTCTTCTTAATATCTTCTGTTTCTGTTAGGTCCATATAATTTCTGTCCTTTATTGAACCCATCTTTGCATGAAATGTTCCCTTGGTGTCTCTAATCTTCTTGAAGAGATCTCTAGTCTTTCCCATTCTATTGTTTTCCTCTCTTTCTTTGCACTGATCACTGAGGAAGGCTTTCTTATCTCTCCTTGCTATTCTTTGGAACTTAGCGTTCAAATGGGTATATCTTTCCTTTCTCCTTTGCTTTTTACTTCTCTTCTTTTCACATATATTTGTAAGGTCTCCTCAGACAGCCATTTTGCTTTTTTGTATTTCTTTTTCTTGGGGATGGTCTTGATCCCTGTCTCCTATACAGTGTCATGAACTTCCATCCATAGTTCATCAGACACTCTGCTGTCAGATCTAGTCCCTTAAATCTATTTCTCACTTCCACTGTATAATCATAAGGGATTTGATTTAGGTCATACCTGAATGGTCTAGTGGTTTTCCCTCCTTTCTTCAATTTAAGCCTGAATTTTAAGTCAAGGCTAAAGGCCTGAGAACCAGAGCACCAATTATGTATGGCCTGGAGTTTCCAGGTTCAGGAGCCAGAAGCGCCAGTGTTCATGGCCAAGGAGAGAGGGAGAGCAGTAGCCCTTGTTCCATTCAGGCCCCCACAGGGTAAGGCTATGCCCACCCCCACTGGTGAGGGCTGATATCTTACTCAGTCTACTGATTCCATGCTAATCTCCTCCAGGAGTTCCTTTGAAGATTCTCCCAGAATTAGTGTTTGACCTGAGACCTGGGCATCTCATCTCAGTGAAGTTGACACATAAATGTAACCTTCACAGTGCCTCTAAACAAAATGCAGCCAAATAAAGTTTCCCTGCTAAGGATTCAGAGGCTGCAATTGTTTATTCTGTGGAGGAAGTGGATATAGGGCTGGGATTACAGACTTAGGCAGAGCTTTGTTTCCCCCACAGTGAAGATAATGATGCACACACAGTTTATGGGACTTTTAGTAGGATTCAGTGAGATACTGTTTATTGAGGTCTTGGCTCTGGAGTTGTTGAGC